GTCGCTTAGGTCGTTAGAAGCCCCCCCAAAAAATCGGAAGGGTGTAAGTCCTTTTGTTGGGAGCATTTCTACTTGTGTAGCTAAACCTCCAATTCTCCTCTTTTCTAGTGGCATCCTCGTCATTTTGGTGGGTATAAATGCCACCTCTTGGAGGTCCACCTAATAGTCATAGTATAGAGATTCCTTCCTTTGAACTTAAAACTAACAAGATCCCTGCGGAAGACGCAAATCATGAATTGTTAACCGGGGATCTTTGGACGTGTTGGGTAGACTACCTTCACGACCAAGTAGGTTTAGGGTCCTAGTGGCTTGGGATGATGAGTTCATGGTATCATGACCCGACTGCCTCTACCTTCAATGGATTACTCTTCCCTTCCTTTGATTGTCTCTATTGAGCACCGTCGCTATTTTTGCCTTCGTTGGTATCATCTTGACGATCTGATTACCAATGAGTTGTCGCCCGTTTGGGATACAATGATTTATCTTTTGCCCTTATGACTCAGATATGCTTTGACGTATCGGGTTTCCCCGTCGATATGATTCGGTTACTTCGCAAGCTCTGTATGAGAGGCTCACTCTCTGCCCCGCAGTCTAGCAAGAGCTTTGAAAGCAGCAGAGTATTCCCATGCGAAATAATCATTCTTTGATAGCTCTATGCTAGTCGTCACTACTAATGTAAGCAAAATACTTTTGAATCAAAAGTATTATTAGGCAACCCCCAAACTGTAATTAACCAAGTGAGATACGTCCCCTTAGGAGCACTCTAGACCTCTAAACAGGCAAACACACATGAATCTTTGGTTGTGGGTGGTCTGCGTAGGAATTCTTTCACATATATTGGTCCGAGGTGCTTCCGCCTAATCTTGTTTGGGCAGACATAGATCAAGGGATAACACGACACTTTTAAGAACTTAAGAACAAATCATCAAAGAAATTTCAATTCTATCCTACCAAATTTCTATTTTAAGGGAGAAATAAAAAGAACTACTCATTACTCGTGACCAAACACATCAAATTAAACTTTGAATTCAGGAAATCCATCGTACAACAGGCCTTAACAAGAAATCTTAAGAAAATTAACACTTAAATGCATTGTTTTTGTTTCTTTCTCTTTGTTTATTTTTAAAAGAGTCGTCAATTTGCTTATCGTCGTATATTTCCCTTTTCTGAATAAGTATTTCTTCCAAATCGTGTGAATGATCAGGAGAAGAAATGAACCCGAAAAGATAGACATACGATAAAGATGATAAAAAAGATAAAGAACTTGGAGTGTCTACTTGCGATAAACCTTGCAAGGATAGTTTTGATTTGAGTTGGCCCGGATTGGCTTGGGTTAACCAGAGTTGGTTTGGATTTTACCCTAGTTAAGCTATGTGGACCCAGGTTAACTTAGGTTTGCTTTAGGTTTGACCAAAATTAAGTTGGGTTGACCCGACTTGGCCTAAGTTTGACCCAGGTTAAGCTGGGTTGACATGGGTTGGCTTAGGTTTGGTTTTGGTTTGACTTGAGTTAAGTTGGGTTGACCCGGATTAGCTTAGGTTTGATTTATATTTGATCTAGGTTAAGTTGGGTTAATTTTAGATGGCTTAGGTTTGATTTGGTTTTCAACATGTCTAGGTTAAGTTGGGTTAACTTTAGATGGCTTAGGTTTGATTTGGTTTTCAACATGGGTTAAGTTGGGTTGACCTGGGTTGGCTTAGGTTTGGTTTATGTTTAATTTAGGTTTAACCTAGGTTAAGTTGGGTTGACTCGGGTTTGCTTAGGTATGGTTTAAGTTAGGGCCAGGTTTGGGTTAAGTCAAAACTGGGTTAGTTTTGGGGCTTGGGTCAGAGCTGGGTTGTGTCAGACTTGGCTTTGGTTTAAGATTTGTGTCAGGTCTAGGTTGAATCAGACCTGGGTTAGGTTTAGGGTTTGTTTCAGGTCTGGGTTGGGTCATACTTTAATTAGGTTTAGGATTTGAGTCAGATCTGGGTTAGATCAAACCTGATTAAGGTTTAGAGTTTTAATCACGTCTGGGTTGGGTTAGATCTGGATTAAGTTTAGGGTTTGGGCTAGACCTAAGTTGGGTTAGGTCTAGTATTTGGTTTAGGGTTTGCTAAGTGAGTTTAGGTTAGGCCAGGTTTGGGTCTACCTGATTCAAACCCAAACCCAAGCCTATTTGAAGGCTATTGAGTTGATTAAACTAGCCTAAAGCTAACTTGAAACTCAATATAAATAAATGCTTATACTAAAAGAAGACTAGGCAGGAAACTTACCAGGAGAAGAGGGCTTGCCCGGAGGAGGAGGCTTGCCGAAAAATTGATTCCCTCTTCTTCTTCTTCTTCTACTCAGAGTAAGTATGAGAGAGTTAGAGTCGATCGTGTGTGTCTGTTCTGAGGAGTGTCTGAGGTGGCCTATTTATAGGCTCAAAAGGCGGTGATGCAACCCTCCAAAGCCGTTTGAAAGGGTGGCGCTTTGACGGTGGAGATTAGTTCGAAGATTAGTGAGCCACGGATCACTGCCGAAAAAACAATGCGACGATTTGTGGCCTAATATGTGGACAAAGGCCACATATCGCTAGTGTGTCAACTGAGCTTGGTCACACTCAGGGCGAGCGTGACCGCACTGAGAAACCTCCGGGCGTGGTCATGCTTGGGCTAGGGGTGACCACGCCGAAGAACTTTTATGCCAGGCCAAAAAAAATGGGCAAGTTCTTTTTTAGTCAATTTTGTTGTGTCAGACCAATAGATGATGTCCGTAGAAGTCCTACATAACCAAAAATGAGGTCGACACATACCACCACCAACTTCTACTATAGAAATTATTGTCTTGCTGAGCTATTTTATTATATTCTCTCCATCACCGAATATGACAAAGGTTCCCCTCCTACGCTTCAATGCAAGAAATTATCTCATAGATACTCACGACCTTATCTCTTTTATTTTATCTTCATGTGTGTGCAAAATTTTCATAAACACATTTACTCTAATGTTTTTTTATAAATTTTAGTCAATATTTATGTGTTAAGCATTAATAATTTAATTTAAATCTTAGTCATATAATACAATTAACAATTTATTTATTTTGAATTATTTCTATCAACTCTCGTCGAGCATGAGTACATTGTAATTAAAAAGTACTCATTCTATAATATAGTATCTTAGTGTTCATGATTTCAAGAAATGGCAGATGACTAAAAAAAATTAAAATTCTTTTGTTTTAAAAAAAGAGAGCCAGCGCATATCTTATTCTATGACTACTATATGCCTCAGCTTTATATGGAATTTTAATGTACTTTAATAACCATTACATGAAAGAGAGAAATATTATGATTTTATAAGTATATATATTTTATCTAATTCCTAACTATCATTTTATTTATGTTTTTTTATTTAAATATAAGTAATTATGATTTAAGGAAATGCATTTATTTTATTTAATAATTAACTATCACATAATACACAAAAAAAAAATATATTACCATGAATCTTGGTAAAATCTGACAGGTCAAAGGAGACGTGGTGAAAGAGAGCCCACCAAATATTAAAGTGTACAACATGTGGGCCAAAAAAGTCCATAGGCTCAAATCCAAAGCCGATTGGTAGACCACAAAGACCGACTAATTAATGATGGTCGATTGGTCAAAGATTCTATTGACCAACATATGGTTGTAGTCGATCGACCTCTTGAACCAAACAGAGCTTGCCGAGTTGCCTCTCGCTGATCCATAGATTGAAAGAAAGATAAAGAGAGAGATAGATAGAGACATGAAATTCCCTTCTTCCCTTTTGTTACTTATCTATTATACACAAATGAGAAATGCATATAATAATTGATGTAGTAAATCTTGTACTATACGATGTCCTTCTCTGGTGTCTTGATAATAAGACGACAACATGGGTGTAAGGTGTTCCAAATATGATGCCCGTCTCAGGTGCCTGGGTTAAATGATTGGGTCCAAGTATCTGACGACATATTCAATAATGGCTTGACAGATTCTCGTACTAGCAATGATGGCCTCCTCTGATAGCCGCCCTAACATGTGGGCTAGGCGATCCCATTAAGTGGAATTAATATAATCAAATCAACACATGGTCTCGATTCAACCACTTTGGCAGGCAAGGCTATAAACGAGCTGAGCACTCGCTTGGCTCGTGTTCGACTTGTTCAAAATTACTCGTGTTTGAAATTTTCTCTTGAACAGTGTGTTTGTGCTCGGCTCGATTTAAATATTTTTATTCGTCTTTGCTCAAAATTGTTGATTAAAATTAATTGGAAAAAATAGATGCAGGGTGTTGGATTCAAACCTGCACTAACTCTGTGTAATATAATGTGCATATTCACATGACCACATGACAAGTTATGATTTAAACTTAGATATAAATAAATAAAAATATAACAAGCGAATAAAGGATTCTTCGTGTTTAACTAGTTTGCTTAATGAACAAGCCAAACACGAGTTGTTCGCGAACAATGAGCTTTTTTGACAACTCTACGAGCAGGTGGGCTCAATTCGGTCATTTCAGACATTTCAGTTTGTTAAAAAGCAAAAAAATTTAATATTCTCATTTTTTATGCATTTAAGTGCCCCGCATCCCATTATTTTTATCTCCCCCATCAAAATTTGTTAGGGCATACCACACAATTCTAAGTGTTTACATATCTAATATCTAAAATCTTACATTTATATGCATAATACTAAAAATTTAGGGTATATTTGGGGCAGCTTGTGTTTATCCAGATAAACAACTTATCCTGAAACGCAGCCCACGGGGTTCGACCCGTGGCCTCTGTTTAGTGTAAAAACCAAACCGCGTTTTCGGATATACTATCGAAACGTGTTTTCCATCGGTGAAACGGTATTTATAAGCTGTCTCAAACAGATCTTCCGTATCACATAAAAAATACTATTAGTATTTATTTTTATAAAATAAAATGTATTTTATATATAATTCATGATGTGAAAATACTATAAATATAAATATATAAGTTTACATGTTTGGCATGTGAATACCTAAGAATTGTGTGTTATTATGTAAATTATAATTTAAACAAAAGCTTTCCTACCTCCATCTTCCATCTTTCAAATTCCTTGAATGAGAAGGAGACATTTGGGGTCTCTGCCGACACAAACATACAGGCAGTTGCACTGCCATCTCTCTCTCTCTCTCCCTCTATCTTGGGGCAACCATTGAAGATAACTCACAAGCAAAACACCCTTTCTCCTTTCTCAGTGTCTTCTGCGTTTTTGGTTGGCTTTGGTAATGGATGTTTACCGGAATCCCATCGTATGCGGCGACATTCCGGCGGAGTTCCAGCCGGAGAGAGCTCCTTCTCCGGAAAAAACTATGTGGGAGGACTTCTTCCCTGGGCAAAATAAGGTTATATGCTGTACTTATTTCGTCCTCTTCTTCTTTTGTGAGTCTCTTTATCTGCTCACCCTTCTGAGTTGTTTCCCATAAAAATGGCGTCTTTCTCGTTTTCGGATTCTTTCTTACAGGCTAACTGATTTTTGTTTTTAAAAAAAAATTAAATTTTTGCTAGTAATGTTATGTTCTTGATGCGTCTCTGGTTTTTACATATCATCAAAGGGTGTTTGGTTGCCAGATTTAACCAAGAAGTATCAAGGATTTAGTCAATTCTTAACTGAAGTAGGAGTTGAGCTCATTTCTCTTGGTCGCGCTTTTCTTCTTCATTTGAATCTTAAATTTAAAAATTTTATGTGAAATAATTTATTAAAATTTAGCATCTATCCTTTCAACCGAATTTTACAATTTAATGCCACAACAATTTACTTATTAATTTACAAGATATATTAAATCAAACTGGAATGCATGTTCTTACATCTCCAAGAAAGTTTTTTCTTCACATTTTCTGTACAAATCACTTGATGTTTTCTTCTATGTGCCCGTTTTCTTGTGTGAAATGTGGTCCCTTCTGTGCTTTTTACTAGCTTCTCCACTACATAAACTTTGAGTATGGTTTATATTGCTCACATGGCATCTGTACAGGTTCTCTTTATCTTGTTTGTAAAATAATGCCTACAACCCATCAATTGAAATGCCTCAACAGATTTTGCAAGTTATCTTCCTCTTTTTTTTTTCGGAATTTCAAACTTAAAAGCTTTCCCTTTGTGTGTTTGAATCCAGGAAGAAGATGAGGAGAACGTCAGCCTGCAATGGCTTTCAATCTTTGTGGAGGACTGCCTATCTGCCACTACAAGTTTCACCTCGCCACCACCATTAACTCACACAAACACAAACAAAACTTCTCAAAATCCTACAGTAACTAAAAAATCAAACTCCTCCTTTGAAAATCTCTCAGTTCCAGTCCCAGTCCCAGCTAAGGCCAGAACCAAGAGAAAGAAAACCAAAGGTGATTCCAATTTCTTAAATTACTCTAAAGAGTCTCCTCTCCTCCACCAAAAACATTGGCTTGCAGAGAGTGAGCTCCTCATAATCCCCAAAATGGAGAAGCTTGACAAGCACCAAGGGAAGGCAAATAATGGTAATGGCAATGGAGGAGAATTGCACCCGCTGCAGCCGAGACGGTGCCG